ATCCGGAATCGTCCGGATCTCGGGGGGTAGTTCGTTCCAGAGGGTGGGGGCACCCACAGAGAAGGCCCTCCCCCTGGGGGTCGCCAGCCGACATTGCTTGGCCGACGGCACCCTGAGGAGGCCCGCTCTGTGGGAGCGTACCGGTCTGTGGGAGGGAATCTGTGGCAGAAGGCGGTCTCGGAGGTATCCAGGTCCGATGGGGGATGGGGGAATTCTTGTAAGAAGGTTAGACAAAGGCAAGGAAAAATGTTTTTTCTCAATTCTTTCATGAGAGCTCAATCTCTTCTGCAATGGAATAATCAATCAAGCATCACAGTTTTAATATATTACAGATTGCTATGCTTACTCATTATTAATCTACTATAAATGCAAATACGTAATTAAAGCATGCAAACACCTTTCAGCGCCAATAGGTTTCTTATAAGTTTACACATATTTCTTTTAAAAATTATCTGAACTTTGGAGAATCTACAAATACTCCAATAATTTTCCAATAAATCATTTTCATGTAAAGATTCTGAACACAACATTTAAACTCATTAACCACTTTTTTTTAAAGATACTGTAGTTCAAGAGGCTTGTGAGAAATTAACAGAATTCTCTTATTTACTAAATTCAAAACAACCTAAATAAAACAGAGTACATAGATCAATATGGTCAAGTTAATAAAACATCTGGTGTTTAGAGTATAGACCAGTTTAGCAGGATGGGAATATAATAACTAAAACTGATACCAGTTTAGCAGGATGGGAATATAATAACTAAAAGGTTCAGTTGTTCAGAAAGCACAGAAGCAATAGAAAAGGACATTTAACTCTATATTAAAAATATCCACATCTGCCCAGATATCTAGAGTAATGATCTAGGCCCTGCTGTTGAGAGCATCTTTATTAAAATGAACAGGTCCTGCTGGTGTCCACTATTATGCTTGGAAATTCCTGACAACTTTCATCTTTAGAGGGAAGAGACAGAAGAAGGGAATGTGCTAAACTTGTCTTGAATTTAACTAATATAAAATATTAGGGTAGATGAAACTCATGGAAACTTTGAGAGAAGTTACATGATACTGTAGTTTCTGCTATCAAGAGAAACCAAAGATGATTACAACTGAGTATTATCTTGGACTTCAGATTTAATAAATTCAGAACAATGAAAAGTGGATCCCAGAAAGATGCTCAAAATGGATGGAAGAGTCTTAAAAAATAAAATACTAAAAGCACAATAATGACTAGTTCCAGCAGGAGATTAAGGAAAACAGCAGAAGCACTTAATGTGGCAGCCCAAAAAGTTTAGCAAAAATTAAGCAAGGAACATACAGAATTAGGACTGAGGGACAGGATGCAGAATAATAGCAGGTAGCCAAAATCTGCAAGTAGTATCATGAAAGGTCAAGCTCAAAATGAGCCAGTTAGTAAAGGATGCCAAGAATGACAAGAAGGATGTCTATGGAGATTCTCAGTCATCCAAGTCATGGTTGTCCCAAAGCTGCTTGTTCATGAGCCAACTGGACCTTCTTTATTTTTCTTTGAAGACATTTTGCTTCTCATCCAAGGAGCTTCTTAAGTTCTGAGTTCTTGGATGAGAAGCAAAACATCTTCAAGGAAAAACAAAGAAAGTCCAGTTGCCTCTTGAAAAAGCACCTTTGCAATGACAAGAAGGGCTTGTTCGGGTATGGGTAAAAGAAAGATAAAAACTATGTAACAGGTATTCAGTGAAAATGACAAAATCCTAACAGTTAATGAAGAAAAAGCAAAACTATTTAATTCCTATTTTGATTTAATCTCTGAGAAATCTTAAGAGAATGGGGGGCAGTCCCAATTCTGTCCAACTGTAGAAGGGCAAAATGGTATTCTGAAAAGTACAGACTATTTCGTCTAAATTTTTTTAACTGGAAACATTCTACAGAATATTTAAGTTTGATCTGTAAGCAGCTTAAAACAATGCAATGGTTTGTCCAAAATAAATCTTACCAGACTAAACTAATCTAGTAATTTCAATAGTAGATTGTCACATGCTAAAGACATAACTAATCTTAACTTTGTATTTAATGAGAACTGAATCATTACCTAGTGAAATAGGATGAAAGTAACAGAATAAAATTTAAAAAAGAGGAATGCAAAATTCTTAAATTATAAAATAAATCGAAGGCACAGGTATAAGTATTCCACATGAGATACAGTGGAATAGTACATCACCAAATAACTACCACCCAACAGCCAAAACAGCTACCACTCATAGCTGCCCAAAAAAACAAATGCAATTTTAAGCTAAATCAAGCTAAGGAATCTAGTTTATAAATCACAGAAAGTAATAGTTCCACTATAGGTTGCATTCCTTTAAAGTATTGTATGTAGTCCTTGGCCCTATATTTTAAGAAAAATCAGATGCAGAAAAAGAAAATAAGGGACATTTTATCAGAAGATACTATAGGAAATGACTGTGTTTAGCTCTGATAAAAGAAAAGTTATGAGGGGATATGATAACACTTCTAAAGTATCTGAAGTTGTTGGTTACTATATTAACAATATAGTCAAAATAAAATAAAAGCTTTCCTTAGGTAAAAGAATGGTCTCAATTGTTTTCTGTCATTTTGAAACATAGAGCATTGCAGGAATCCTATTTCTTCACTCTATCTCCATAGAAAAATAGGTGGAAAAGAATAAATCCATCCATTATTTCACCCAAAACATAATCAAGAAACAATCTAGAGAAGGGCTTCCGTTGCAGCATAACGGGTGCAGGAAGATGGGGCTCCATCTTTTACATTCAATTTCGCCCTGCTGGGGACCCTAAAAAGTCGCCCTGGAGAGGTGATGAAGGAGGGGACCCTCGTCGATCGCAGAGGGGCGGCGGCCCTTCCACTGGATCCAAGGAAGCCCTCCAAACTGGCGGGGGAAAGACTGGCTACATTTGTGTGGCCAGTCAGAAGCTGCTGACAACGAAGATAAGCACTAACTACCAAATTTTGAGCAACGGGATGAACTGGGTGAGACTTTATCCTCTTTTTATGACTTAATACTACTCTCCTGGAAAAAAGAATGCCCAAAACAAAGAATCCTCCCCGATGAGAGAGGGAAGGGAAGTTTTTGCCCCGCTCCCTCAGGAAAAGAAAAGCGGTGAATTAATTGCTTTGAGGGAAAATAGAAAAAACTACAAGATCAATTTGGAATTAATACAGATAGATAGCTTTGAAATTTGGGGACTAAAAGTACCTTTGAAAGTGTTTTTAGAAAAGATATTTCAAAGTCTATACAATAGGCTTGGATTTGGAAAGCTGGAAGACGGTGACAACAACATCTAGTGGTGAATCACGGCACTACAATTTATTATGCTTATAGGAAACTTGCCTTGAAGCCTAGACTTAAATAAGACTCTTTGTTGTTCCTGGAAACTTTCACTTTTGCAGACTGCAGTTGGGAAAAGGGAAAAAAACCCCTCTTGGGCTGCTTATCTGTGTTGGGGACCCTATTGGACTATAAAGACTACATACAAAAACAAAATGGGTGTTTCATACTTAGCCTCAAATGGTAAAAAACCATCTTTAACACTTGTCTCTGAAGCCCCCAACTTGATATACATACAAGAAAATGTTAATGAATCTCAGGAAAGAAATTATTTCTATGTTGAAATCAATCCAAGAGACAATTGTTTTATTTCATGATGAGACTAAAAATAATGCAAATGAGATAAAAGAACAATTTTCTAACCAAACTTACAAATCCAGACAATGACCACAAAGAAGGAACTAGTAACCCAGAAAAAAAAGGAAAATTAGAAGAAACGGATCTAAAGATTGAGGACCTAAAGAAAGGAATTAACAGACAGATACAGACAAATAAAAAATTAGAAAATGCAATGATAACACTGGAAATGGAAAATGGAAAAGATTTTACTTGTCAAGATCTCAGAACACATTTGAGGATAAGGAAGAAGAGCTGATTGAACAGATGATAAAGCTGTTAGGAGAAATCTGAATATTGACAAATAAGAAATGAAAAGAAAAACTAAAGGAGAAGTATGGAGGCTGTTTAATGAATATACATGGGTTGAGCATTCTTCCAAAAATGTTTCAATCAATTTTTCTTCCTCATTCCAAACAATATATACAAAAACAGAGGAAGAATTACTTGATGATTCAAATGTGCTGACTTGGAAAATTATTTGGCAAAGGAAGAAAGCTAGAGTAAGACTGAAGAAAATAGAGGTTTTGACCTATTAGATGAAATATTATACTATTAAACAGATGTTTGAATATGGTTAAGAAAA